GAGGACCAAGAACGTGTCTTTATGATCTCTGTAAAAGACAGCTGTGGCCAATGCCTACCTTCACTACAACAGAAAATAAATATAGGTATTTCTCTTTTTCCTCTTTCTGAGTTTAAGATCATTCTCTTCAACAACCGTATGGTTATTTATCCACAGTTCAATAGTTGTCCTTGGTCATGATCTATAGTTACCTTACCTTCTACAATTTGCTTATTAATTTTTGCTCCTGCAGAACTGAAATGGAGTTTGGAGAAGGTGCTGAAAAAAGGAAGGGATTTACAGGTTTTGTATCGAAAATTACCTTGCGAGTGCCAAACTCTGGCATTATTGAATGTGAAGGAGATGAATGTGCTGATAAGAAGAGCTCATACGACTCTGCTGCATATGTCATGCTTCATGAACTTCAACAAGAAGGGCGGCTCATCATCTGTGGGTAAATCCTAGCAAATCTGCCCACTTCCTGATCTAAGAAAGACATGGCATATTTTTCAGTAACCTGCCATCCTGCAAATCTTTCCTGGGTAATTTTTGACATAAATAATATCCAAATTTCTAACCTTGGGAATGATAAGACACATTATCAAATTACAAAATATTATCCTGTTAACTGAATGTAAATATTTAGGATAATTTAATTTGAGAAAACAGATTTGCAGCATTGTGTACCCTGTCTTATCATTTTTTACATGACAGAATCTGGTTTTTTAGTCTAGTGCAGTCTGAATAATGAAATTCTGAAGAGTACCATTAATAAATTAACATGAAAAAATTTATTTAGGATACCATGTAATTGCATGGTTTGGACTATACTTTTTTTGTGCAGTCTGTGAGCTGAAAAAATGTTGTTTCTATAAAATAATGCAATTTGGATACCCACTAGCAGAGGGAGAAACAATATATGTCCCATTCAACAAGATACAAACAGGCCATGGCCTATGGACAAGAACAAAATTTGATAATTGACCTTCGTGTTATATGAGTGAAGATTTCATCTATCCACAAGGTCTGTTAACTTCTGAATTGTGGTGCAGTTGGGAATTCACAAATCCTGCCTTCAGGCCTGACTATACTCTGGGCATCTATTTGACTGATAAGTAAGAACACATCATGCTCTAATGAAGAGCTCGTATACATTACTATTGTTATCTCCACTAACACGCTTCAACATCTCGAAACTCTTACGACTTCCTAAGAATTCAATTCGTTTGAAAATCATGTGTCCATGCTCTGCTGTCTCTTTACTGGAGTACACTCCTCGAAGTCTGTCAGCATGCCTTGAATCGGTGTGTATGGCAGCTTCTATTTCTTGAGCTGACATGTTCTCCTGCCAAAAAGCAGCAAGGGAAAAGAAGAGAATAACCTAATCAACAATGTAATCAACAAGCATTCAGTACAAGTTCAGGAGGGAATGTGCTAAATGATAGAAGAAAAAACCTCCAAGTTATACCTGGTAAAATGCATAGATATGATCCAACACCTGCAAACATGTAAAGCCATCATCACTGAAATACGTCCTTGAGGAAGGTCCCATCTCAGATAACCGGTCAACTGGAAATAGTATGGTAAGAAAATGGTTTTTGAATACCAATTCCTTTTTCTCACTGCAAACAGGTCATATGTAAAACAGAACTTGTGAAACAACGTGGCAGTTAAGTAGAAAATACAATAGATCGTATACTCAGTGAGACGCTCCATTTTAGAGAAAGAAAACACATATTGACAAGTTCTGGGCATAATAGATATTGGATTGTAACCTGTGAGTGAATATTCAGGGAAAGTGCAAATGGAGACTTAGAAATTTTGTAAAATCTCTACAATAACATAGAGAATTATTTTCTACCTTTCTGTAAGAGGCCGAATTAAGTTAGTAAATGAGGCTACTGAATCCTTGCCATCGTCTGTTGCATCAAAGAATACAGATTGATGGTCACTAACGTCCTCACCACTGAAGGAGTCTGTGTAAATAGATGCAGTTGAAGTTGGCTCAGATATTGACCAGCAAATGGAGTCCAGAAGGGTGCTTGGGGCTATTGGACGAATAGGCATCTGACAAGTCTGTAAAGGAAACAGTTCACATAGAAATATATATGCTTAATCCACTGATGCAGTCATTAACAGGCATGTATGCGGTAGGGTAAGGAACCTTGAGAAATTACATTCTATGACATGAGATATTCAGGGAAAGTGCTATTTATGAAGACTGAGCTATAAATCCTAACATTCAGTTATGGGCAAAGCCCATCAGCACCCTTTAGTTCATACACAAGTTGGTCCTTGATAACTATTATCGTCTCCTTCCCCAATCTGCTTTCTCATGTGCAAATATGAGGAAGCATTCATGGTGTAGAATATCACAAAGACTATATCTTACGTTCAGCTGCACTAGTTATGTCCAGTAAAAAGTCTCCACCAGCGTGCAGAGTTTACTGGTAATGTGCTTCCTCTAGTCTCTTGAGATCAAATGTAAAATAATCTAGCTTAAACTAAAACAGGTACACCTTTTCTTAAGGTGGGAAAATCAAGAAAAGTGTCGTGTTAAACTACCGAAAGTCAAGAAAGGGACTGGAAAGTGATGGCAAAGACCTCTGGTGCAGAAATATACTGTATGAAGACCTTATTCTTCTTATCATGAAGTGTAGAGCAAAATTAATATGATAAAGGATAATCAACTTGCCTGCATACGATGACCACGCCGATTTCTAATCCTGGTCTTAGCATTATTTACAATCTGTTGCCTTTCCTCGTAACTTACATTACTTCTTAAGCCCTGAGTATCTTCGGAGGCATTTCCCTTATTAATTTCCTATTTAAAGAAGGAAAACAATCAAATCAAAACTCAACAAAATCATCATGTGTGTGAGGTTTGGAAAAGTATCATAGAAGCAGCAGCAGCCAAACTTGAAACATTGTTTCTTACAAACAGGAGATATTAAATAAAAAAGCAGAAACTTTAGAAGCCTCCTCCTTGGTTCTGTGAGAATAAGTACATTTAGATAACCATGTAAACAAGATGTTTAAAAACTACCTCGTCAATGCTGCTGTTCTGAGTATTTTCTAGCACCGTCCCAATCTGCCTGGCCAAATCAGCTGACATGTGAAGAAGCCTCCTAACAAACTTCTCCTTCGCTGTTTTTAGTATCCATAGTGGCTGAAAAACACCCAGTGTCAGATGAATTCCATTTTCATAAAGTCCACCGAGCAAAGTATCAATGATCTTTTTCTGAATGCTGTTTGCATTGAGGTGATTCCACCATCATGAACTGCCTATAGCCATATGAAAGGTGTAGAAAATCATAGATGATTACGTAAAACATGTATCAAGATTTTCAGAAGACTCACTGTAACAAGGTTGTTAGAGTGGCCAATATATCGATGGACAGAAGTCCCTTCGCACACTACATGACTTGCATTGCAACCAACAAACCATTGATCCAAAATTGTGGCACCTTCTTTAGTAGCTCCCTCAATAACCTGACAATGTATTAAATGTCTCAGAGAACTGATAAAATAAACAAACAGAAGCTAACTTTACATAAACAAGGAGTTACACACTCACTCATCACAAATTGACACATAGTTAACACATGTAGGACTTCCATTGAATATTAACACGGTAACATCTGCAATGTAGTTTAAATGAATATAAGAAAAAAACTAGTAACTTGAGGAAATTAAACTCTACCTTATTCCTGAGTTCATTTGAAATGTCTGGATCGATGTAAATGGTATGACCAGATAGAGTTGAGTCCATACTTCTGTTAGTGTCTCCTCCAGAAGAATGGAGATGTGGTTTTTCTACGGTGTCAAATTTTATGGCTTCATGAAAACCAGCAGGTAGACATGATTTTTCAGCAGTAAACCCAACAAGCTGCTTCAACTCATCTACCTGCATACCATTTTCTCCAGTACCCTTAACAGTGTAGAGTGATTCACTCAGCCTTACTACATTAACCAGACAAAAAGAGAATCTTAGTGCATAAGATATATCTTATTAGAGAAATAATCAAGCTTTATGTTCCCTAAGTCACACTCTGTATTGAATGCCACTTTGGCAGCCTTAAACATTTTATATCTCAGTTAAACATTCCTAGGATAATTTGAAACAAAAAAGAAGTTGGAGGTTGTTCCATTAATAGTTAAAAGCAGATTTATGTGCCAATAGCAAGGCAGAACTTATATGCAAAAACATGTTAAATGCAGACAGCATTTGTGCTTATACCCTATATTCCTAGTGGACTCGCATCCAAAATCCAGAATTTACAGCTGTAAACATATATGAAGAATTAATCATGAAAACAGAGAGTTGAAAGAAACAATTGTGAATTTGAAAAAGAACAAGGGGCAAAAACACCAATTGCAGGACAATCAAATACCAATATTGCATGGAATTGTCACATCATAAAACCACAAATTCTTAGTACAGTAATCAGACATCAAATCTAGGCAGTACAAAATAAAAAGTAACTAGTGATTACCATTCCTCTTGACACTATCCACAAACCATCCAAGAGTGACAACATAGAGACCATTCCTTGCTCCATGCTTCACAGCATGCTCAAACTTGCGTCCACTAAGGCTGTAGATAAGTGTTAAGGCTTTGCTCTTCAACCTCAAACTTTGTTTCTTATTTAAGCCAACCGAAGAGCACCAGGTGAAATGAAGTAGAAATGATTAACGTTCAATGTTGCCAACCCCATTGATTTTTAAATGAAAATTTGGTTAATTGACTATGCAGACTAGAATGCTTTGAATAATCTATGCCTTTACATGCATGTGAAGAATTTATCTATTGGAAGAAACGAGAAAGAAAGAAACCACCTTTCCTTCACAATCACCAAACTGTCATGCATGCTGACCAACAAATAAGAAAAGGTACAAAATTTCGAAATTAAAAAAGAAAAAATAAAAGGAGAGAAAAAGAATAATGATAAAGGATATCTGAACCACCAAGTGAGTACATTGAGGATGTAAACTAGGGCTGTATTGACCCCCTAATCTTTCTGTCGCTTCCTTTACTTGTTCCCTTGCTTCTGGACAGAAGAAGAGCAAGTATGAAATCTAGATATTTAGCTCCTTGAAATTCATGGCAAAGCCAGCTATGGTAAGGCAACAAGTATATCTTATGCTGATGAAAAATTAGCTAATGACTTCTAGTATTCATTCCTTACAGGAAAAGCAATAAAGGATTAAAGGGTACAAAAGATGATCAACAAATCAAACCAAAAATACCAAAAAAAAAAAAACCTGAAAAGGGAATCTTTGAATAAAGAACATACCTTTAGATAGACCCGTAACGCATATCACAAGACTGGAAAATGGACCTGTCGATCGAGCCAACGACTCAGACCCAACAGAGGAAGAAACCAGAGACATTGACTTACAAGACTGCAATCCTCTTAAAGAAGACCCAGAAGATGGAAACCCCACGAACAGCCTTGAACACCCTTTGCTGTTGATCACCTCAACTCTGCTAACACCACCCATATTCAACTGAATCTCGAAGAAGGTAAATTTTTGCAGAGAAATACTCAACCATTCTTCACCATTCAATTCATGAACCAAGAAAACACTTCAAAGGGTAGGCGGGAAAGTGTTCTGGAACAAAACCAATGATACCCAGTAATGATTTAACCAAATTCAATAAAAAAATGAAATTCTCAAGAAAAAGAAGGAGAGTACGAATCTTACTGGTAAAAGAAGAGGAATAAAAACTGGGAATCGGAGATTGAAGACAAATAGAGAATTTCGAAGCGTAAAGGTATCAGAAAAAGTGAAAAATTTTTTAAAGGGAGGCCATTTTGTCTCTGTGCTGTGGTGGCACCAAGTACTGAGACACTGGCTTTGCTTTATTGGCTTCAGAAGAGAAAACTCCAATTCAAAGTTGCAGAGGCAATGGCAAGCACCAGCAATTTTAACTTTTTTTCTCCTTTTTTTTTTTTTAAATAAATAAATAAATTTTGTTTCATAAAACGGGTGAGTGATTGAGTACAATTACAAACTTGCCATCACCGATTTTTGTATTTTACTTCGAATGATAAAATATAAATTATACAACCGTCAATAAATATATATTTTTTTTAAAAAAGTTAAATATTGAGAAGATTTTTTTCTTAATGTTAAGAGATTAATTAAAAAAATATAAATTTTTAATTTTTTTAATTTTTTTATTATCTTAATATTTAAATTTAAAATTTTAAGTTTTTAATTACCCACAACGCCCATTAAAGTTTCAACAATGCTAATAATTTTAGAATGTTAATTGTGTCTGAATCAAATTCTCAGGCAGGCACTACAGCAGTTTGTTTTTTTTTTTTTTAACACAACGAAAGGCAACAGATAGGTACTAAATTAATTAGATTATTCATCGCATTATAACAGTTGACAAAACACTTGTATAAAAATTAGTGCATGAAAATGATTTTAAACTCATTTAATTCTGATTTTGATGCATTGAATATGACGTGGAACAGAAAAAGATGGAATTGAAATTGTTTAGTGACGATTGGTTCCAAAGGGCCCCGTTCTACTTACACCAAAGATAAGATTAAGATGTTTTAAATTAAATTAATAAATTTAGAACCTTTCATCATCTTTATTTATTTATTTTAATGTGAAATGCATCCATATTTTATTCCACAATTGAAAGCATAGAAATTATATATTTGTTCATATCATTCATTGTAATTGGAAACATATACATGTTTTGGTATTTCTTCAAATCAATACTCATCCTCATTTACACTTGGATCTTGTAAATAGATAACTATATAATTAATTGAAATGTGCATTTTCAGGTTGGGATCCAAATCTTCCCTCTCCAAAAATTGTAACATGTTCAAAAATAATAATAATAATAATCATCCTCATCCACTAGGGTTGCTCTCTGTGCTAATTCATGTGCTACCCTATTACCCTCACACCTCACATGCTGTAAGCTGCACTCCTTCAAACTGGTCCATTAGAGCTCTACAATCAGTTATGACAGCTGTAAGCTCTGAAATAGAGTGTGTTGTGAATTGTGATTATGGCGTAATTTGAAAGGAAGATATTATTAGGCAGGGGTGGAATGAGAGGGTCCATTGTACAGATGGTTCACAGGCTTAGGTCTTTTCCATCAAGTGTCACGTTAAAAGTTGACTTCCTTTGTTAAATGGGATGCCATTACCAAAGGTGATGCGTGGTCCTGTAGCTAAAACAGCCACAGCTACGGCCCCAATTTATGACTAGTATCACATTAATTAAGAAGTTGAATTCATGATACCCATAGATATCCATTATCCAGCCTGTTCTTGTAGGGTTTGGTTTGGGTACGAGGACCCAATTTTAGATTCAGAAGGCTATCAAATTAACATTTATGATTAATTATTTATCTGCATTTTGAAAATTAGGTGTACTATTTTTAATATCTTTTATATATAAACATTGATTCTATAATTGAGTTACGTGGATTATACATAATATTTATATAATTATTTATCTATGTAAAAAATTACGAAGGAATTTAAATTTGAAACATTTTGATTCTTAAACCCGGAGGAGTTGGAAGCTGTTGATCATGTGATATGTAGTACAATGTGGAAGATGACAAGAGGAAATTGTTAGGGGAGCAAAATGATGATTGCATTTGCTTCCACCATCTAGTGCATACACGATCCTAGACACCAGGGTGTTGTTCTTAGTTAAAATTATATTTGGACCAACAAAAAGATCACAGGGAGTGTGGATTAAATTTGAAGGAAAGAAAACTAGAAGTAACGCGCCTTGACTTCTAATTCAATTGCTTTATTTTTATTATCATTTTATTTTAATTTAGGATTAAATGTCAATTTTTATGTATTAAGATAAGTTCATATGTCATATTCACAATAAATTACTTTCTTGTGATCCTTTCCAAGATTTGAATCCTGTTTTCCTATATGCGTTAGGAGTGTCAAATGATACTGCTATGTGTTTTAGAACCTGAACTAGGGAGTGGGAAGCCAACAACCCATGCATTGAATATTGTTTGTTTATGCTTTTGATTTGGCGTATGATCTTATGTTCCTTGTAAGTTGTAACTAAACTTTAGCCATCAATCATGTAGTTAGGAATCTGAGATCGGTCAACGGTTCAGACAGCGACATTCTTCTTTTGGTCGGGAAATCTAAATCACGTTACAGAAGAGAGTGGAAAGGACACAGTGGAGTGGAGCTGTCGTTCTTCCGGAAACTGTATACAAAGACTTAATTTTCAGGTTTTCGCAGTTTTCTTTTTCTCCTCGGACTGAAACAAGGAAAGGAAAATAATGCCTAGAGAAAAATGAAGGGTTGAGACTGCATTGTAGTATTTTGTAATGTCTATTCATTTCGTTATTAAAAATTTATTTTATAGTTTAGATTACAAAACACTAACTATTAAATTAAAAGAAATCTTTAGTTTTAAGAGAATATCTTCTCATTTAATGATTAATATTTTACAATTCAATATAATTCAAATAGAAAAGCAACAAGTTCTATTATTATTATGGTTGCTTTTGGAAAATAATGTCCAACTCACCCTTACTCGTTTTTTCTCCCTTTGTGAGTCCACAATCATTTTGGATTAATGATGTTTTTAACTTCCCTTCAGGAGGAAGCAATGCCTTCAGCGCCTCTTCTCCTGCAAGCTTTTGTTTCATGTAAGATTTCCTTGTTACCAGCAATCCTTACAAAGTGCTGCATTTGAAGGTTAATTCTAGAGATGGCAAAACTTTATGAATGCTTTCTTCACAAGTGATATCAATTATCATAGGACCACCCCACCAGCAGAGGTACTAGATTGAAGATTCTGATTTAAGGGTCTGAATCTACTGGCTCAATTGGCGCTAAGTAAGTATATACGAAATCACAAAATCAACTTGTAGCAAAATTTAAAGAGTGAGACACAAAGTAAACCAAGCGAGTGAGATTTTGCTCCAATGAAGGAGATGTGTTATTTATTCTATGGTACATTAATCCCATGACCATGAGGAAATATGAATGTACAATATAAAATCAAGAAATGAGAAAAAAAAAAAATTCAACATTTTCTCTACTTCTTCCATTTGTGTTTACCCCTCCATGTATGGCCCAGTGAGGCAGGTGACGGAAGATTAGAGAATATGCACAAAAAGGAGATGAAAACACATGGTGCAGATAAAATCAACCCAAGAAATTTAAATTACACATCTTAGATCATTAAACAGATCTGGAAAAGAATGATGGAGGTCAATGCTCATAGGTAAATCTTCATCATCAGGCGATGAGCACCAAATAATTTAGAAATGAAGATCCCTGGTGCCACTTCATGTTAATAAACGCTTTTGTTTCCAACTATTAGTCGTCCTTGAGAGTTAAGAACTTCCTGGAAATATCAGATTTTAATTTGCACACTGTGGAGAGAGCTCCCATCACCATAGCATCAATTTCTTGCTCTTTTCTTTCATATACATAGAATGCTACAAATGCAGTTGGCAGTCCTGCAGGGGAAAAAAGGTCAAACCTTCAATATTGGCTGATGAGAAAATGATAAAGAAGGTATTTGAAAAGAAAGAGTTGAGCTTAAGGGGATAGGTTATGATATGAATGATCTAGTCAGTAACTCAAAAGTGTCAAGACATTTTATGGTGGTGCCTTTTAAAGCTTGAGTCATCTGCTCAAAGGTACATATTTTTGCAGATTTAAGCATGTCCGTTAATGTGGGAAGCATTCCTGAACATGTTAGTGAGAGAGTACCCATGATAAATAAGCTCTGAAGTGATATGGCTCCAAGGAAGCTAAGAAGCAGAAGGGAGAAAACAACCTGCTTGATTGTCAACATGAGTAAAAGTTCCATAAATGATTCATATGAGAGCTTCCACAACAAACTACATACAGATGTGTATGATTAAGCACAGAGAAACTGCAAGAATCCAAATTCGAGTAATTGAGATAGGATGACTACACTGCTGTCCAGTCACTAAAGTAGTGTATATATACATACAGCATTAAAGCACACAAAATAAGGAGTAGATAATGAGAGTGATAATACCTTCAGAAAGAGCAGTGAGTCCTTGCCCTTGCAAAGAGATCTCAAAACATTAACGGCATAATTCCACAATGAGGCAAATGACATAGCAACTTGGTGTGATTTCTCTTCTGATAACGGGAAATGTGAAGCAGGAATTTTTTCAACTGTATATCCCAGCCTGCATCATTAGACAGTTTAATTCATAAAAAACGAGGTATTAAAAATCACAAAAGTGGTTATCTTTTGACGGATTCATGAACTATGCTATGCTATAGGCATGGAACATAAGTATTCTTTTGTAGGATATAAGACCTAGATTATGTTCATACCTTATCCATCAACATGTCAAAATTGTACAATTAAACTTTAAATTTTAAAGTTTAAACTGATTTCTAAGAATTAATTATAAAAAGTAAAATGTGAGGACTAAATTGGAAATACGTCTGTTTAAGCATCAATATATTTGAAGTCTTGTAGTGAAAGATGTTCTTGCTACAGTTTTCGGGGACAAAGTTTGAAACTTTGAATTGACAATAAAAGTAAATTGAGACCCACAAAGAAACTGAACCTAAACTTCATTCATTTATTTTTTGATAGGTTTACAAAGCAGAAGAAGAGGGGGGGTGGACTCAAACTCATATCTTAGAGGTTGGGATATGCACACTGAACCTAAACTTTATGGTCCAAAATGCAATTTTCCTAAGAATTTAAAATTGCAGAAAAACTGTCAGACTAACAAATTGACATGTCAAAGAATATAAACCCACTTACATTTTATCAGGTAAGCAACCATGGATGAACAAGAAGACTGACACCACCAAGAGAAGCTTTGACGGTGCAGTAATTATTGTAGAACCAGAAGCAATGAAGTTGTAGTAAATTGCAACCAAAATTAAAATTGCAGTCATGGTCTGCTTTCTATCCTTCCAGAGTAGTGTGTCAGCAACTGCAAAAAACGATGAAAGCTTGAAAAATGTGTGACATTCACATGCACAACTTGTAGGGTGTTTTTTGCTCTTTATTTTTTTTGGACAGGCATGTAGGGTATTTAATACAATAAAAATATCATTTTAACAAAATAAGTCTCTTAGTAAGAAAAAAATGTTTGAAACTTCTAGCTAAAAACATATCATAATCCTTTACATTAACTTTGCCATCTTTTACAGCCTTTAAATCTCTTCATCTCCTTTATCAATTATCATGAGGAGGGGACAGCTGAGAGCCCAAGAGAGACAAGTTGTCTTAGTTTGAGAAAACTTGGCAAAAATCTCAGTTAAATGAACCATCTAATTGTAATTAAAGATTTAAGTTAGAGAACAAGCCTAATCAAGTTGAATGTATAAAAACTAAGACATGGTATTCCAGTTGTCTAAACTTTTTGTACAGCTACAACAGCAATCAGAGTCACCAAACCAATTGACAGTAATAAGCCATAGCAGCTACTGTTGGCTGAATACTGTTCTATAACATCCTGAGGAGATACATCTATAACAGAAACACAAGCAAATTTAGATATCATAATAGCTGTAGGGAAGAGAAAAACTTTTACCCCTTCCACGTCCAAGAAATAGAGAAGCTTTGGATGGCCCTTCCCTCTTAGGTTGATTTTCAGCTTTCAGGTCTGAGTATGACTCAATGGTCCTTTTTATACCATCCTGCAGAGTTATTAGATATTTAGATCAAATTTCATAAATGAAGCTTTTGAAATTTTAAGTGAAGATTAGAAAAAAAGAAAAAGAAAAAAAGTTTACAATCAACTGAATGCCAAATGAGGGATTTTCCAGATTTCTGTGCATTGTATGCCAATTAAGAATGCTAAACATATTTACAAAGAACAAGTGTCTGAAATTTGTAAAGCTGGTTAAAGACTGCTACCACAAAAGAACACAGGTCATCAGGGATGGGGATACCTCCTTAGAATATTTCAATTTGATTTCATCAAATATGAATAAAATGAGCAATTATAATCTAAAGATAATTAAATATAATAAAAACATGATACAACCTGAAGTGGAATGAGGGGTTCATATCCGAGACATTCTTTTGCTTTTGAACAATCAAAAGATCTGTTACCAGAAATGAGTCTCATTCTTGAAGGTGTGAACTGTGGAACCTTCATGCCATAAGGGCCAAACAACCTATATGTTAACTCTACCACCTGTGCAATTGGCATGATAACAATGGCAGGGATCTTTATTCTTGGCCTATACATCATACAATTCATAATAAGAAGACCATGGTGTGGACAGTTTCAAAACAAAAGAATAGAGAAATAGAAATTATGGCTTCATTATTAAATGAGGATGTGTTATACATGAATTTTTTGGAAAAGAATAAACCATGCACTTGTACACAACATAACAAAAATTAGAAATATTAATATTAATAAAAGCAACAGATGTGGATGTCAAAATATCAACATAAGTTTCATATTTAAGGGAAGGGGAGAACATAAACTCAAAAGAATGTGCAGGGTGGTGGTGAGGAGGGGAGGAAGCTGGTATATCTGCTCAAAATGGAAGGGAACAGAAAGTACCTCTGATAGCCAAGACCCTCAATAATTTGTGAGACAAACTCCCAAAATTTGATATAGGTTCCATATTGGTTACAAAAAATGCCTGATAAAAGAACGTGCAATTGTTATCAAGGCATTTGCTTAAGCATATCTAAAGGATGGCACTACCAAACATAACTTCTCACTTTGCCTTTCTTTTGGGTGGATAGAAGTAATTGAAAGCAAAGTAAATAATACCTGCCCTGCAGCTTTCTTTGCCGTTTCCCCACCTGAAGCTAAAGCTCGTTCCGCACATACATTGGCATGTGCCACATTTTCAACGTAAGTGAAATCATGAATGTTATTGCCATCACCAATTATGAACTGAACATTTAAAACATAGAATAAGCAAAAGCAGAGAACAATTTTGAAAGAAATATTGACAAATAAGATTAACATGCAAAATAAAAAAGGAAAAGGAAATAATAAAAGATTCTTTAATAAGAAGTCAATTAACCATACTTGAAGATTATATTGGATCTGTATGATAAAATAAGAATGATAATTGAAGAAAAGGAAGTTAAATAAAGTCATGAAAAGCCTACCTTAAGTTTACCTGCCCTTGCAGCAGAAACCAAAGATGGGACAAACAACTTGTCACCAGGGCCAAAAATACCACTAGGACGTAAGCAACAAGTTAGAAGCCCATTGACACCATTTGACTTGATAACCAACGCCTCTCCTTCAGCTTTGGTTGTTGAATAAGAATCAATGTGCTGAAATAACCACAACAAGGAGTCAACCTCACTGCCACTATGGTTGCTAAATTGAAGAAAGGCTAAGCGAAAAAAAAAACCAACTCGAAGCAATACAAAAGCATATGATCAAAATCAAGTTGTATGATACTTTTTTTTATCTATTTATTAAGTTTTTGGACTTGTAATGGCTACAAATTGCAAGAAAAAATAAAAAATAAAAACAACAATAGAATTCCATAGAAAAAGTCAAGATTGCAGTTTATGGCACTTTTCATTTGACCTTGCCGGCCAGCCGACCGGTTGACCTGGTCGGACCACCCAAACTGAGAACCAATGAGTAAACCAGTTGTATTACTGATCCGGTTTTCAAAACCATGATAAAAACTAATAAAAAAATTTTTATTAAAAATTTTAACCGCAATAATTTACGAGGCGCAGCAGCCTGTTTGTGTTGGATCAACGTTCAATATCACTTTGGGCTTTGGCAAAATAAATTGTCCCAAACTTCAAGCCCATGAACGTCGCTCCATTTCTTTTTTTTTTTGGGGTTAAAACTTTAAAATAATTTCTCGGACTTTCCGATTCCCCGAAACACAATTTCCAATTCCCTCCATTCCACCCCCCCCACCAAGCAATTTCGAAAAATACCCTTTCCTATTCCCCGCTTCAAAATCAAGAGCAGGTCCAGGTAGTACCAGGTAGTTGCATCTGTCTTCCCCTCGCTCCTCCTGCAAAACTATGGCCTCGAAACCTGTCGCATCCCAGTTCCTTTCCCTCAACCACCGCGGCTGTGACGATGACGACGATGATTTCCAGGTTCCCCCAACCCAGATCTCGTCCCTCCTGCCTCCGGCTTCTGGAAGACTCCTCACCACTGCTTCCCAGAAAAACCCGCTCAAGCGCTGCAACAATATCCACCGTCCATCGAAGAAGCCGAAGCGCCGCGCGAATCCTGGAAAAGAGAACACGGTTCCCGACGCTCAGAGGACTGGGTCCGACGATCTTCACTGGTTAGATGAGTGCTGTAGCTTGGAATCGATACCATCGAGCATAGATTGCAGCTTCGGTAAAGTTCAAGATGGGTATTTCGATTCTGTTGGGTCCGATGAGAAAAAGGAGTTGGTGAAAATCAATCAGGGTTATATATGCAATTCCATAGAGTCTAGATTGATGAGGCCGAGGTTAGAATGCGAGCCAGATGTTGGTAATGGTAGCCGGAATGAGGATTTTGGGGAAGAAAGCGAGCTCGATGCATTGCTTCAGCTATGCAACGAAGTAGAGGAGCAAGAAATTAACAGCAATGGCAATGAAAGAAATGGTTCCGGCCACGGTCTGGTTCAGTGTCCACTTTGTGGGGTTGACATTTCCGCTTTGAGTGAAGAGCAGCAGCAGGTTCACACCAATGACTGTCTTGACAAAGCGGAGAATCCTGTTCAAGAAGTATGTTCTGTGATCATGTTACTTTTTATTTATTTATCTACCAATGTTAAGCTATGACAAAAAAAAGAAAAAAGAAAAAAAAAAAGAGAGGAGAATGTTGGTGTTGGTGGAATCTTGGGTTTCATCTTTACTGCTGCTAGGAATTTTCAAATTAATGTAGGTTTCATGGGATAGGAGTGCTAAATGCAAATTATGGTTCTTGCAGGGTATTGTCCTCAATGAGGAGGAACCTCCTTATCCCTCAGAAGTTGTTAATGATTCTCTTAAGTCTACTCGGCAAGTTGATGTCTCCCCTGTTATTACGTGGCTAAGCGACCTGGGTTTAGATAGATATGCGGAGGCTTTTGTTCGTGAAGAGATTGATTGGGACTCTCTAAAGTGGCTGACTGAAGAGGTATGCTTCACAGTAGAGTATGACATTCATGGTATTGATATGGATCATTTATCGGAAATATTTTCTAGATAACCTAAAATTAGCTTATAAATATGTGTCACATTAAGAATTGTTCTTTTGAATATAGAAACAGGAGAAATATTATCAAATTGTAGATGGGTATCCTCTTATAGGCTGCAATGGAGAAGTTGATTATTTCAACTTATTTGGAATATAAAAAAATTGAGATGACAAACAGTATAATAGCCTCTAGATAATGTGAATTGTTTTGTTCATCTGGCTGTAAACCTGTAAATGGGGTGGTGATAAGCTTATACTTAAAAAAAAAAAAAAAATTATTTAGCAGTTTTATTTTAGAGAAAGGCAACTAAATACTGTATAATCCAGTAGATTGTTTGCTAAATGATACTTAGTGTGTATGTGTGTGCCTATGGACAGGAAATTGATGCTTACACGTTTCTACTTTATCTTTCTCATGGAGAGTTTTTTCCCCTCCTTTGTTTACCTTGCAGCATCACAAAATCGGTTCTGTCCCAACAATAACCTGGTCACTTGTTTCTCTTCTTTTGCAGGATCTCTTTAACATGGGTGTCACCACACTTGGGCCCAGGAAAAAGATTGTTCATGCCCTTGGTGAACTCAGAAAAGGGTGCAGCATTCCAGATAAGACACTTGTGGAGCATGCCTGTGGTGAGAATGGATCAGGCAAAAGCAACAGAGTGGAGAGACTTGGCAATGCCTCTAACAATGCTGATGCTGAAACGAGTAAACTTGCTGCAAACAAGTTGATTACAGATTATTTTCCTGGCAATTCTGCTAATAAGAATAAAGTCTGCACCGCTGCAATTGAGCAGCATTCATCTGGGAAAAATGATTCAGGTTCTAGGAGGAAGCAGGTTCGGAAAAATCACAATAAAAATGGGAAACTAAAAGAAATTCCCTCATGGTGTTGCATTCCAGGGACACCATTCCGAGTGGTAATGCCCCCTCCTTTTTTAATTATTTTTCCTTTTTTACAAAAAAATTTCCATGCTTCATCTACTTTATGACCAATGGATTTTCAACTCGAGTTTGGTATTTTGATAAACATCTTTTGCTTCTAATCCCATCATGAATTTTGATATCTCTGTGAAATTGAAGGAGTATTATGAATGGTTCCTTGTCTCTGTATTATATTGTCTTTTACTTCAGGAGAAACAAATCTTTCCTGTACAGAATTCTTCTGACAACTAATTGTGAACTGAGATTTATATAATAAAGATATATATTCTACCTTCTCTATCTTCCTCACATCACAATAATTTTTATTGCAGGTTTTTTCCTAAGTTAATTGTTGTTTACATTTGCAGGATGCTTTCAAATATCTTAGAGGAGATTGTTCCCACTGGTTTCTTACTCACTTCCATATGGACCGTAAGTTTAACTGTGTTCCTAGTCGATCCTGTGTTGCCTTTACATTAGCTCACCATAGATAATTCTTCTGCTGCTGCTTTTTATTTTTTCTCTTTTTTTGACTTTTGATGCCCTTATATCAGACTCTACACCAGAAAGCAGGAAGTTAAATTACATTTTTTTTCCCCATTCTGACTTGAAGTTTTGATACTTTAAGAAATTATAACATTAAGAGAATCCTATGCTGCATTTTTTTATCCTTTGTGCAGATTATCAAGGTTTAACAAGATCATTCTGCCATGGAAAAATTTATTGCTCCTTGATCACGGCAAAGCTTGTAAATACTAAGATTGGAATCACATGGGATAGATTACAAGTTTTGCCTCTTAACCAAAAGATCAGTATTGCTGGTACAGATGTGTTGTGCTTGGATGCAAACCACTGTCCAGGATCTATCATGATACTATTTGAACCACCCAATGGTAAGGTGCGGTCCTCATCAACACTTGAGACACAATGTCACTCTTTGGCTTGTTAACCTGCCATTTTCTTATTCTGATTCTAACTTGTTTTGGTTCTTGCATTTAGGCTGTTCTCCACACAGGGGATTTTCGCTTTAGTGAGGAAATGGCAAGCATGTCTATTTGGCATATGCATCCAATCCATACCCTCATCCTTGACACAACTTACTGCAATCCCCAGGTTAGTTTGTGTGTGAAAACTACTGCATTATGTTAACAATAAATCATCATAATTTGCTTAGAATCCTGTTTCCGTAAACTGCATACTCACAGATCAATTAAGATAAAACTACTACATTTTAAAGTATCTTGAATCCCAAGTTTTCTTAATACAAGATTTAATATTCTTTTCTAATCTCTAAACTATAGATTATGATAGTGTTGATATTCTTTTATCATGCAAAATTCATAAGTATTCTTGTGTCTTTGATTTCGTGCAGTATGACTTCCCAAAGCAGGAAGCTGTAATACAGTTTGTCATTGAGGCAATCCAAGCAGAGGCTTTCAACCCTAAAACTCTTTTCCTTATTGGCAGCTATACAATTGGTAGATATCAAAGTCTTCTTTCTCTCCCTGTCTAACTTGCATTCAGTTACAGGCTCTTCTTGTGGATTTCCCTTTTTTTTTTTTTCCCCATATTTTTCTTGTGGATTTCTACAATTTACAGAAAAACTTTTTATGTGTTTCATGTTACATGATGAATTTGTGTAGTTCTTTTGCTATCACAGTCTCTTCAAAAGCCACTTCAACGGTCCAACTTGTGGTTTTAAAAGTGTTTCAATTGATAACTGCATAAGTAACACTTTGTATTGTCTAATCATAATAGCATTTGGATCTGAATAGGAAAAGAAAGGTTGTTCTTGGAGGTTGCTCGTGTTCTTCGTAGGAAGGTTTATGTAACTGCAACAAAGCTCCGTCTTTTAGAATGCTTAGGGTTCTCTAAAGAAGACATGCAATGGTTTACCTATAATGAACAGGACAGCCATATTCATGTTGTTCCTATGTGGACACTTGCGAGCTTCAAACGTTTGAAACATATATCCAACCAATATGCGGTGAGGAGCATAAATTTATTCCACCTTATTTCTTTTCTTAATAAATCTACCTGTGAAAATTATTTTTCCAACACCAAAAGCAAGCTTCATTTTTATTTCCCAATTTACAAGGTACATTTGCCCCTGCAATTTCTAGTAAGCAAGTATTTACATGCTGTTTATACTGATTGCCAGGGTCGATTCAGTTTAATAGTTGCTTTCTCTCCCACTGGCTGGACATTTGGGAAGGGAAAGGGGAAGAAGTCTCCAGGGAGAAGATGGCAGCAGGGGACCATCATAAGGTATATTACTAGCCTCAGTTAATCCTCAGCTATGGCCTATGTGATTATGTTTAACATCATAACTGAAGTAGAGGATTAAACATTTAACAAAGAAAAAACTTTCAATCCGTTTTCCAGGTACGAAGTGCCATATAGTGAGCATTGCAGCTTCACAGAACTTCGAGAATTCGTGAAACTTGTATCTCCAGAAACCATAATACCAAGTGTAAATAACGATGGACCAGATTCTGCCAGTTCCATGGTTTCTCTACTTCAGTACTGAGTTCTACCTCTTCTGTCTTGACACACAAGGTACCCTCTTTTTGTATTTATTAAAAAAAAAGGCAAAAGAAAAACTGAAGAAATTAAAAATCCTTCGTGTATGTAAAATGTCATTGATAAAAAAAAAAAAATCAAAGAACCCTAATCAGTCTTTTTATTATTATTATTATTTTATTTATGATTCAAATGTTCAGAATGTCTCCAAACCACAACTTGTGTGATTCAAAGCTAAACCCCCCACTTCTTAAATCCCAATATTAAGACTTGAAATTAAAAACTTCTGCATCTTATATAAGTTAGATTGAAGTTTTTAAAGTGCTATTTTTTCTATTAACTAAAATAACTTCAGCAGAAGGTAGGCAATGGAGGGTCCTAAAGTGCAATTTTCCTTTTTATTTTTTCTTTAAGTAAGGGGATAATGGTTGAGGTTCAACTCTTTTGGTTTTCACGTTTCGGTGTATTTGTCACATCAACTCTTTATATCATTCAATGTTTCCTAACATTATCTCTTCTTATTACTAGTATTTATCGTTTAAATTTATTGTCATTTTGCACGTGTGAAATTGTTGGGTGGGTTTGGTCATTTTTGTCATTGAGCATTCCCTGTCATCACACGCATCAGTGCATTACCTTGAAGGCTTTGGATTTATATATATATTTTAAGAGTTTATATAATCTTGGTTTTTTTTACAAGTTTGTGTATTAATTATATTTTTTTATATTTTATCTTTATAAAAAAAAATTAACAAATTAACTTATTTTTATCATTAATGTTATAGATACTTTTAATTAAATAATTAATGAGTATGTAAAAAAATCAAGATGTTTTGGTATTTAAATTATCAGATTATTCAATCACAATTATAATTTAAATTAAACACAATTATCATTTAAGTGAAGTTTTACTTAATTGATAATTGTGATTGGATGTCTTGACAATTTTAATATCTAGACACCTTGATTTGATAATTAATAAATTAAAATTATTTATTAAAATTTTGAAATAAATAAATTAAAAAATATATAATTAATATATCTTTAATTTATACCTTTAGAGATTCTCATATTCTAATTGTTTCTCATTTTCAACAATGATATATGATGCCCTCAATTAATGGGATTCATAAATCACAATAAGAGCACCTTGTATGACATCAAAATGGATACTTACAAAATTTAGTAAACTGGCTGTGCAAATATTTTTATTATCTACAATCAACAGTTAGGAATGGAGCCGGCAATCCCTTTATACATAACTTGCTAATCATATTTGTTGACTTCTTGACTTGTATTTAGTATTATTATTTTTAAAAAAAAATAAAAACCTGCTTTATTTCCTCCTTTTTCAAATGCAATGTTTTTTTATCCTAACATAACTTGCTTTGTCATATTTGTTGACTTCTCGACTTGTATTTAGTATTTTTTTAAAGCATAAATGTCTCTTTTACTTCCTCCTTTTTCATATGCAATATTTTATTTCCTCCTTTATATTAAATTGAAAGAGGATGCTCCGAACTCGAAAAGGAGATTGGTAGTCACTATCTGAGCTTGAATGCAGAAGTTGATGTCACTTATTAAAGATTTATTTAATTTAGCTGTAATTTTTATAGAAGTATTAAATCATAAATTTTAATAGATTAATTATAAAATATTTTAAAATTTTACT